TCTGATAACAATTTAAACCATCGTTTAAAATTATACTAATTTGCTCAAATTAAAAATTTCAAAGATGAAATTGACAAAATTAAAATTTAAATGATCAAATTAACCAGAACCCATACTTACATATAAGTATATTTTATCTATTAATTTGTTACTGAGTTGCTTTCTCTGCCGTCCATAACTCTTAAAATAATGACAGTGAAGTCATGAGAATAAAATTCAACTTGCCTCCCAGCAATTAAAATTTTGAATGCTACTAAATTTATGTTGACTTAGATAGCAGTCTTTCTTATTTTTATTATTTTTTTTAATAATTATAGCAGGGTTTCTTAGAGCAATTATTCTACATGTGGCATTGACGAGTTCATGTATCAAAAAAACTGAGCTAGCAACTTTAATGACGTTTTTGGTTCGTTTCTGCCAACGAAATGCTGGAACAAGTCAAATTTATACGAGTGGACGGTCCAGATCTATTTGTAGTATTACATCTATGAAATAATTTTTCTTATTAATGGGTAGATTTTCTTAAGATAAAATTAATGGGTAGATTGTTGACTCTAGACCAGATGTTAACTTGAGAAATTTATTCACAATAATGATTACATTTTATTGTCATGAGTGATATGACTATTAAATTAATATAGTGTGTACACATGGGTCACGTTTGATTCACAAGACTAATAGTGAACTATTAATAATCTTATTAAATTAGTGTGATATTCATTATCCAATTAGATTAATATCTATTAGATTAATAATCTCACCCCTACTCTATTATTAATAATCCTACAAATTTGTTAGATTAATTATCCATTGGAGTAATAATCTTAAACCAAAGTGTTAAAACAAACATAGAATAATTGGCCCCATGGATTAATAATCACAATCTCATGCTCTAATCCACCCAATCAAACATGCCAATAAGTTAATAAACATATTGTGATTTCTCTTGGAATAATACTGTACACGGATTATTAATTAATAACTCTAATATTATCTATTAATTAAAATATCAATATAAAATATTGAGTCCCAACACTGCATAGACTTTTTCTAACAAGACTAAATAATTTGAAGTGAATATGTTAATTTAATTTTAAACATTAAAGCTGGTAAAGAGATTTAGAATTTTGTAGCAGAATATGAGGGAATACATTGAACCGTTAATTAATGCCAATAAAATATGAATGAGAGAGACACAGCAATTTTTGTGCATTGATTTGACTCATTTTATGCTTGCTCATTATTCAATTTGGGTTTGGTTTCTTTCAAATTCGAAAATTTAAATTTGAGATAGTTTGAGGGGTTTGCAGGGTTCGTTACAAGTTATATTTTGATAAATTAAACCGTTCATTTTGTAGAATCATTTGTTCTTATCATCTATGAAAAAATTAAATTAATTTGATAATTGTCATATTTTTATTCGATCGCATTTTTTTTCAAAAAATTGGATGGCCCATTTTAAAAAACGTACTTGTCGTTTATATTATTAGAGACAGACACAATAAATAAAAATATTATTATGATTATCAGATCGATTTAATTTTTACTATAACTGATATATACTAAGGATCCTAGATTCAAATCATAGAAATGGAGTTTTTGATGGGCTCCACGAACTCCTTAAGCTCTCTCAAGTTCATATTTGAATTTGAAGGAAGCTCAAGTTTCCCATTTCAATATCATTTTGTTAATTATTTCATTTTAAAATTGAACCAAATTAGTTCAAATTAAAAATTAATGGATTTGACAAAATTAAAACTTAATCATCTAAGTGACACATAACACAAACTTAAACAATCTGTTTGTATCATGTGACTTCGTAAGAAATTATCTATACTATTATTAAAAGTGAACACCTTACTTGATATCCATGAACTTCCTTCTCTCCTTTTGTCAAGTGGTCTTTTTTTCTTGTGCCAAGGGTCAATTTCTTCATCCAAAAAGGAAAAAAATAAAAAATAAAAGTTAAAAGAGGGCTACAAGGCTTGAATCTAAGACTATTCACTTAACTTACTAAAAAAACAGTTTCATCACTTAAACAACATAAAAATATATTACAAATTTAAAATTAAAATTTATATTTGAAGTGCACCCATCAAGTCGGCTCGCACCCTACTAAGAAATAATGTGAACGATAATTCTTTTTTTTTATTTATTTATTTTTATACAATGGTGAGGTGATACCTTCTCCCCATTTGTTACCCCTTAACTCCACCTCTAATGAGGTGGCTGAAAAAACCAAAATTTCAATTTGAGTTGCAACACAGTGCATGAATGTAACGCCCTCAAAATTAAACCCATTATATATATATATATATTAGTCTTCTCTCTCATTCTTTCTCTCTCCGGCATCCTCCCTATTTCACAAAGCTAACAACTTCAGCCAAACAATAAAGTTAACAATAAACTCAATCAAAAGTAAACCAAGCTAAGAACTCCATACCAAACAACAACAATCAAACTCACCACCACCAACAGTCTTTACAATCCCCATTTCTTAAAACCCTCAAAAAAAAAAAAAAAAAAAAAGAAGCAGAAAAAATAGTTTAGAATCAACTAGTATAACATAATGGAAGCTAAAATTGTTTACAATCAATTAGTATAACAATGTCGTTTTGATTATGATTAAAAAAAAAAAAAAAAAAAGAAGAAGAAGAAGAAATAAAAACAATGCAGAATGAAGAGACTGAGAGGAGACCACTCCCTTCCCTTGCAATCGATAGAGGGAGTCCTTTGGTGGTGCAACATTGTGTGTTTTCGTTGTGTTGCTATTGTTATACTAACTTGCAGTTTGGGATTTTTTTATTATTCTAGAAATTGTTTTGTGTTTTTTATTTTTTCAACATTTTCTACTAGTAAATTCTTGTTTTCCTCATAATAAAGATTATTCATATTTCCCATTAGCTATATGAGAGGGGAATTTATGCCGCGATAATTGGACCGGGCTAAATCAAGCTCTTGAAGCGAGCTAGGCTATGCACTGGAGATTACTTGGTTTGGGCCGTGTGGAGGTTGAAACCGGTCAAATGAGTTTGACTGAATACATTAGTGTTTTGGGACCGAACTACAAAAGAAGTGGCGTTCAAGAACGGACCAAGCTACTTCCCAGTAGTGTTCAAGATCGAACCAAGCTACCCAAGAAGATCGGTCAAAAGTGAGTGGGCAACGCTTTGGCCGGGCTAAGTGAATGGACACACAACGTTAGCATACTGGCGCGCCGAGCAAGATTTGCATGGCGCTGCAGGTTGCATAGCTGAGTCAAATACCAACAAGGCTAATGTAGTTCGGTTGCTCGGCTAGAAACTGTGCAAAGAGTTATGCCATCTCACTTAGCTTGCGGTGATGAGGGTGTGAAAGGATGAACGTTATCCTTTAGGAGTGTGATTTCTAAGAGAACTCTATGAAAAAGAATTAGAGTCCTACAAGGACTCTACCATGCGAAAACCATACCTAATTTCGGGTATTGCAATCACTAATCGCGAATTCACAAAACTTTTCCTCCTTGTTGATCTTATTTGTTAACTTAGGCATCAGAGGGGTTTCCGGCACACACACGCTAGCTAGCTCACGTTTGTGATTTCAGGTCATACGAAGACGTTTGAAGGAGCGCAAGCTTGGTCACATTTTTATTATACTAGAAGATTGTTGCTAGTATTGTGTTTTTTTTTTTTTTTTTAAACACTTTCTACTAGTAAATTTTTGTTTGCCTCATAATAAAGATTATTCATATTTCCCATTAGCTACATACATTGATTAAGTTTTAGTTTTGCATCTAACCAATGTGTCATTAATACCATTACACCATCAGATTAAGTTTTAGATTAATATATGATGAGAGTGAAATAAATATGAATGAAACATTTTTCCCGTTGCTCAATAATTTATATGAGTGATATTGGTTAGTATTTGATGTATGATAACTTCATAATCCATCATATTATCAGCTAAATCTTTTTTTCTTTTTTTTCTTTTTTTCTCTTTTAGCTTCTATGGCATCAGTTTTTTTGTTTTGAGCCAAGCTCTCTTATGTACAGTAGAACTACTTGAGAGCATAAACCAAAAAACGAAACTATGACAAAACTAGATAGAGAAGGCATACATATAAACATATAGAAACCTTAACTAGTTATAAATATTTGATGACAATGCCCAATGGCGGAGCCAGGAAATTAAATCAGAAGGAACACTTCTTGATTATAACTTTAATATTTTTCCCATAACCAACAACATGAAGATAATAATAATTTTTGAATTAATATTAAATACAAAAACTTAAATAAATTATTACAAAAGTATTTCACATAAAATTTTACAATTAACTACAAGTAAAATTGAAAAGAAAGTATTGTGTGTAACTAGTGTATCATGGACAATGTAAAAACAGTTATATATTTAAGTCTTAAAATAAATTATATAATGGTAAGATAAATAAAATTTTTACAAAATTTAAGTAAAAATTTCATATAATAGTGAAATCACGTCATTATTGACATATGATATTACCAACCAATAGTAAAGCAACATATGAAGGGTGAACTCCACATGCAAATATAACTAACACTCTTAGTAATTTTTACATATATATAGTGAGATGAATTATATTTGCATATCAATAATGATGGATATTACCATTATATTGAGATTTTTTCATAAAATTTTCATACATAAAAATATAATTTGTTGTAATCACTTCATTTTCAATAAAACAATCACTATTGTTTTCATAAATTTAAAAATGCCCTTGACATTTTATTCTAAATATTATTTTTGTTTAAAATTTTATTTATATACATACGTAAAAAAAACAATAATAAAAAATCCAGGGGAGGCACGTGACCACCCTAGGCCCCATGTGGCTCCGTCACTGACAATGTCACAAGTACAACCACTTTCATGCCTTTTCTAGCTTAACAATTACAGATTCAGAAAAGAAAAGAGAGGAGAGAAGAAAAGTGGGGAAAGATAATTCTAGAACATCAAAATAACCTATAGATCCGGCTTTAGTTAAGAATCATTTCTTCTTCCATCTGAATGCCTTTGTCCCCAAACCCCCCAAGAAATACATTTCTAATCTTGTGTAGTTCCTTGAGAACATCTTTCACACTCATTCTTTCACTCGGCATTTCAGCAGAACATGAAACTCCGATTTGAAAGACTGGTACTAGGAAAGTCTTTAGTTTAGAAATGTTGGTTGTACTATTTTGCATGCTCCTACTTGGCTCCTCTTCCATTTCCAAAATGATTTGGGGATCAATGATTTGCATTACTTGCTCCGGAAGACACATTTTTACATAGCTATGGAGGTTTACATTACCTGTAAACATGTTACTAGTTGGTCCTTTTCCTGTGAACATTTCCAATAATAACACTCCATAACTATACATATCACCTTGCGTTGATGCCTCCTCACCCATACCATACTCTGCAATATCAAATAATGAAAAAAAAATGCCCAACATTTTTAATTTTGGTATGATTGTTGAACTAGTAAGTTGTACTTCTTTTGTTAAAAAAAAAGAAAAGAAGTTCAACATTTCAAAAGATAAAATTATCTCAAGGGTTAAAATCTATGTTCAAATACGATAGGGGTAGGACAATGATTGATTTAATTTGTTGTATATACAAACAATAAGGCAAAGTTAAGGAAAGTCATCGCTAAAACATGTCATAATTTCCATATAATCTCGTAATTGGTTTTTAGTTCACCACATGATAATAATATAATGTAACTAAATAATATTTCTTAATCAATTTCAACAAAAGAAGCAATAAACAATTACCTGGGGCAACATAGCCAATTGTTCCTCTAATCCCAATTGAACTTGATTGCTGATGAATAGAAATTCCATTAGTAGCTGAAAAAATCTTTGCCAAGCCAAAATCACTAACACGGGCACACAAATTACTGTCAATGCACATGCCACATGATGGTGAAGATAATCCAATGCACATGCCACATCAATGGCAATGTTCGGCCTTTGAACAAAGTTCAAGTTCTTAGGTTCATGTTGCTCTAAAAGACTTGGGTGTAACCAATTTTCTAAGCTCCCATTTTCCATGAACTCGAAGACCAAAGCCTTGAAGTCGTTGCCTTTAAAATCAATGCTTGAGCAAGCTGTAATTATCTTGACAAGATTTCGATGGCGAATGTTCTTCAACGCTTCACATTCTGTAACAAAACTCTTGTTTGCTCCATGTTCATGTAGTTTGAGCACCTTTACAGCAACAATTTGTTCCTCGGAGTTGAGAATCCCTTTATAAACAAAACCATATCCTCCCTCACCAATTAAGTTGGATGGAGAGAACCCATTTGTTGCTTGAAAAAGTTCTCCAAAAGATAGTTGTAAATATTGGTTTTGCAAAGGCGAGGCTAATTTGACTGGCTGTCTCGACCTTTTGTTTTGGTAAATAATAGCTAAAATGCACAATGATAATAGAACAATAATGAGAGTAACTGTTAGAACTATTACTCTATGGTTGAAAGGTTGTTTCCTTTCATTTAAGACTTGCATTGGGCATGCAAGCAATTGCAATAGTTTAATTCCTCCGCATAGCTTACTATTTCCAACTACTGAAAAGGCACTAATGTTTGTGAAAACACCTCCATTCGGAACTTCACCATCAAACATATTGTAGGACAGATTAAGATATTGAAAGAACTGAAACTCCCCAAGAAACCTTGGAATTTGTCCAGACAAGTTGTTCCTAGAAACATCTAGTTCTTGAATGCCTTTCAATTGTCTAAAGGTCGTTGGAATTGTACCTTCGAAAAAGTTACCATCGATGTACAGGAATTCTAAAACTTCACAATTGCCGAGAGTTTCGGGGATTTCTCCAAATAGTTTATTTGTTGATACATATAGTCCATTCAGATTTTTCAAGTTACCAACTTCTTGCCGTAGTAGTCCTGTTAAGTAATTTTGACTTAAGGATAGATTAATGAGCGAAGAGAGACTAAAGATTTGATAAGGTATTTCTCCCGTGAGACGATTATAATCAAGATGAATTTGTAGTAGATTGGTACAATTGCCTGCAGAAATATGAATGCTTCCCTCAATCGTATTTGTTGATAGGTCAAGTGTACCAAGCCTACTCAGGTTTCTAATAGACGATGGAATCTCTCCAGAGATGTTATTGTTGTCAAGCATGAGGATTTCCAACATGGAGAGTTTTCCAATAGAATTGGGAATACTACCTGTAAGCATGTTACCTTAGAGAGAGAGTTTGCAAATTTACAAGGTTCCCAATACCACGAGGTATGCTTCCAGATATATAGTTGTCTTGTAGATCGAGCCAAGTGATCTTGGTGGAGAGATTTGCAATAGAATGGGGCAAAAAGCCTTTAAAATGATTCATAGCCAAATTCAAATGTTGTAGATTGGAACAATTGAATAAAGAAGTGAGGAAGCTCATTAATTCATTGCCATGGTTTGTTCCAAGTGAATTGTTATAAGCAGCAAAAAATTCCAACGCATAAAGGGTTCCTAGATTCATAGGTAAGGACCCAGTAAAGGAATTGCCGCCTAAACTAATTTCCACGAGTCTCGTAGCATTGGCTATTGATGATGGAATTTGGCCATAGAATTGATTTTGTGCGACATAAAATCCTTGTAAATTTGGAAGGGTCAAGCCCAAATCTGGTGATAGAATTCCATGCAATTGGTTCAACGCGATAGCGAAGTAATAGATTGATGAGATGTTGTAAAGCGAAGTAGGAAACATACCGGACAAATTGTTTATCGACAGCTGAAGAACCTCCAACTTGTAAAGCTGCCCAAGTTGGGTGGGAATGCTTCTCTCTAGATTATTGTACACTAGAGAAAGCCTATTGTAGACACCCCATTTTTGACCGTCCTCAAGACTTGGACGTCACCATTGGAACACTTGGTGATTACCCCTGTTTGTGTTCGTTTGGAGTTCCCGGAGGTCTTGGCTACGCGCGCCTTGCCTCAGGATCTCCGAACTTGACCGTTTTGTGTCTGGTTTTGCACCAAACACTTGTGTTTTGCCTTGGAGGGGCAGGGAATGCTTTGTGAGGCATCCCCACACACCACCGGCAGTGGCTAAAAGCCACCGGCTGGTTTTTGCTGCCATCGGAAATGTATATTGCCGGTTGGCACTATTTGTTGCCGGTCGGCACTAAATTTTGTCAAAATGACATTTTTGGCCGTCCGACTACTGTGCATCTACTTTTGCAGATATTTTATCACAGCTGTCTTGCTTTTTGCTCCCCTCCATACATGTGTATGGAGGGATCTCCCTCTTTGGAAGCTTGTCTTGTAAGCTTTACAAGACAAGAAGCTCTATAAGAGAGAGCCTTGTCTCTTGGCTTTAGGGTTAGACACTTGAGAGACTTAAGATATTTTTAGATAGCCATTTTTAGGGTTTTGAGTTCTAGGGTTAGAAACCATACACTTTCTATCTCTATATCTCCCTCTTGTGTGTGTTAAAGTGCATTTGTGTCTTACTATTGCACACAAACACACAGTGTTTCACCTTCACTTAGCTACTTTGAGTCCTAAGAGGTTGGTTTTGAAGTTTTGGAGCTGTTTTTCAACCTAGAAGGAGCTGTTGGAGCACCATTTGTGAAGGGGTCTTCAAGGGTAACCAATTTTGCCTCTTTATTCCCCAATCTTGCATTGTATTTCTACCTGTCTTAAAATCATTTTTGAGCTTGTGTATAATACAAAAAAGTTTCTGTTTTAGGCCCTCTAAATTTGTTTGTTTAGAGTGCTTTGTGGTTTTGGAGGTGTTTGACCCCTCTTAGGCTTGAAAGGCCTCATTTTGGCTATTTTGTGCAAGTTTCTCGAGACTTTGGTGTTTGGGCCTCTTCACCACTGAAATTCTGAGGGATTCAGTGGCAGAGATGGTGCCTTGAAGTCTCCAAAGGGAGGGCCACCCCCTCTCCTTGTTGTCCTTGAAAGGGACCCTTTGGGCCTCTTGAGAGAGCATCATGTTAGAATGTGTATTGATCATATCTTGACTGTTTTCCATGTTTATTATGCCATGATATAACCTTGTTGTGTGATGGTTTTGGTACACCATGCATGCTTAGCATACCTTACCATGTAATGCCTTGTTTATTGCCTTAATATGCCTTAGGTTGTTAGCCTTTGTTCTAGCATGTTTTAGGCTTAGCCTTGTGAAGGTTTTGTGCTCACTTTGCCATGTTTAAGGTCTGTCCTAGGTTGTTTGGGTCGGCCATGGCATGCATTATATACCCCCTTTGCATTTTGGCTTGTTGGCCTCAAGTGTGTGAGTATATAGCATGCATTACTTGCTTTATTCTAATGATTTGGCACCATTTATAGCATAATTTCAGACCTTATAGCATGCTTGTATGTTTGCTTTGGACACCTCTTTGAAGCTTTAAAAGCTTGGGTAGCATGCTCCTTGTTTTGGCATTATGCATGCCTTTAGAATTTAGGTCATTTGGATGCCATCTAAGTGATTTCTAGGCCTTGTCTTAATGTGCTAAAACTCTATTTTTGGTCAATAAGTTCATTGCCATGTTTGGTCTTGTTAAGTGTAGTTCAATACTCCATTGGTTTACTTTGAATGCTTGGCCATTTGTTGCATGTTTAGCTTGATTTGTTTCTTGGTTTGGTACCATGTTTTTAACATGATTTTCAGAGCTTATGTTGCATGCTAATTGTCCATGATTACCTCCTTTCAAATGTGTTTGACAGTTGTCCAATTTGTGTCTAAGTATTGGCCTTTGATCATGTGTATGTGTGCATGTGTATTTGGTCCCTTATTATAGCACTTGCCATTGTTTTAGGCCTAATTAGAGTTTCCTAAATTTGTGTAAGTCCACCTTTCCATCAATTTGCATTGCCCCATGTTGCTTGTATGCTTACATAAGTGTCTTGCCATGCCATGTTGCATTCTTAGCCTGCTATGCCTAGGTTGCATTGCATTTGCATGCATGCCTTATTCCTTGACTTGGTGTAGGAATGGAATTGGCCTTGGTTTGTTTGTTTGGTTTGCATCTCATTTGACATGAAAGTTGCACACTTGATCCTTTGGGCCGTCATGCATGGAAATGCGTGATTGGTGGTCCGAGAATCGAACACATGCCCCTTTGAGTCACAAACATGATAGGGGACATGATTGGTGCATACATTGTGTTGAATTGTATTGCCATGCAAGTTTCGCCTCTGCTGCTGTGAGTTGCAGGTTCTGCAGGCATTCATTGCCGACCGGCGGTATACATTGCCGACCGGCAATTATTCTCCTGCCGATAGCTTCATTTTGTGCCGTGACCACATACCACTGCTGGTGGTAACTCTACTCAGCCGGTGGTGATTCCCAGTATCCAGAGAAGCATCCTTGAGACTTTGGTAGTCTTCAGAGGAGCAGAGCAGGGAAAACAGAGGCAGACTATGCATGGCGGTGCACTTCCGAGCAAGACCCGAGCACGCGCTGCATCTGGCTCTCCTCCCATGGGCGTTTATGCTTTTCCTAGCTTAATTAGTTTGTTAGCTGATTAGGAAATTTGTAATATTTAATTAGCTTGCGTAGTTAATTAATTGTATTATTATTTGTCCCTCCGAGCGAGGGTAAATCTGTAATAAGTGTGGGTGAGTAGTGTGTATGTCTTCCAATCCCCACTTCTTTCTTCCCCTTTATTTACCTGCTTTGATGGTTAGTATTAGGGCACGTTTAAATTAGCATACCTCATGTAATGCATGCGTGCATTCATACATTTGCTTTGCATGCACTGGGCTCGGCGCATCATTCTAATTACATCTGTATTTCAAATTCCGAATTGAATACATGTCAGTTGTGCATTTTCACATGCCATTCATAGACTAGCCGAGCCTACTCTAGTGACATTTTGTATGCTATGCATTAGGCACTTAACATGGACTTGGATCATGCATTGATTGCTAACATGTTCCTGTTTTTGGCACGGAGTACGATGTAAGTATCTATGCTTTAGCATCTCGCATGCATGTGAATGTTGCCATGACAGCATACTTACCATGTGGCTAAGTGCTTATATGAGATAAACTGTTTGAACGCCTGTGGGTGAAGGTTGGATTATTTGAGTTGGAAAAACTCGTTGAAATCCGTGTTTTAGCCTACTTGCGAGTAGCAAATTCCAAAGCACTTTTCAAAACAAACGGATATGCAATGCTTGTTTCCAAATTAGGCAATCTAGTCTATACTTGTTTGCTGTGCGCATAATATAGTAATTCTAGGCTAATAAACGGAATAAGAATACATAAAGTTTTCAAAAACGGATATCACGATTAGTAGAGGCCGATCTTCGGATCGGGCGAGAGGGGGTGCTCATAGCTGACCTTCCCCGATCGTACCCAAGCTCCTGAGCCGAGACAACTCCGGCGATGACGGACATGTGGCCTTCGGCACCGAGTCAGGGTTTCCTAAATTCCCCCATAAAAAATATTTAGGTGGCGACTCTGTATCTGGCAAAGCAATCCATGTTTGGCACTTCTTTTCAAAAATCTGTTTCTCAAAACGATTTGCCGGATTTGGACTCTTTGGTTCAGATTAAGAACCGTGACACAAATCGAGTCCGAACTGTAGTGACCCTAAAACGAACAGAACGGGACTCACCCTCCCGGGGCGTTCGGGGACGTCTACACCTATGTAGATTGGAAAGGTTCCCAATTGAAAGTAGGATAGTTCCAGTAAGATGATTGGCTGCAAGATTCAAGTTTGAGAGATTGGACAAAAAACCCAGCTCGGTAGGAATTTTACCTCTCAGATTATTATTAAACACACCGATAACTCTCAGGTGTGAACAATGAGTCAAATTGGTAGGAAATTCACCTTGGAAAGAGTTATTCAAAAGCACAAGGTATTGCAGACGAAACAACTTGCCAAGTTCTTGTGGGATTTCACCATGAAAGGTGTTGTTACCTAGATCAATCATCCTGAGGAAGGTGAGGTTCCCAATTTGAGGAGATACAGAACCCACCAATGCGAGAGATGACAGGTTTAGGACTGTCACACGTTGATGTCGATGACCGCATGAGACTCCTTGCCAATTGCAAAAGTGAATTGAATGATTCCATGAGCTTAAGGCACCCAGAGGATCTCCTGTTATCAAATCCTTGATTGCAAGCAGTGCCTGATGGTCTGTCTCGTTGGTGAGAACTAAACTGGGATTGCCCTTGGCAGTGGTAATCAGTTCAAGAAAGTTCATGAAAAAGAAAATGAAACAAAGTACAGATGTACTAAGTAGACAACTGTGAAAAGTTGAATTTGTTTGCTCCATTCGGTGTTAAAAATAGAATATTATTATGATTAAAAATGGAGCTGATCAACTTGTATACAGCATTGGAGAGCCAAAGACTAGGGACCTTTTTGGTTTTTTTGTTTTTTTGTGTGGTAAATTACACTTACATTTTGGTCATCATACTATTTTGTTCTCTGTAATTTTAATTAACTTGATTTTAATTCAAAATTTATAATTTTGTCTAAATTTGATCTAATTTATTTTAATTTTGATTATTTTTTTAAATAAAGAATACACACATAAGCATATCACGTGTCATGCTTTTATAGGAAAATTGTAAATTGTGTAACTTAGTGAGTTAATCTACGCAAACTCAGTGATTATTTTCTTTTAAAAACCCTAATCAGCATTATCAATTAGACCAAATTGATACAAAATTTAAGATTAAAGGTGAAAATTGAGTTACTTTAAATAATAGAGACCAAAATAATATAAATATCAAAATGTAGGAATTACTGATATAATTTGTTCTTTTTTTGTTCGTAGTTTATTGTGTTATTTAAGGGGTTGTTGCCAAAAGCCCAAAAATTCAACCCCAACAATAGAGGGTGATATATCATATACATCAATTAATTATTTTTTTTCTCACAACTATTTATTCAATTAAAAATAATCATTCTTAAACACATCTTTTTTCAGCTCATAAAAAAACTAAAAAATTAAAAACCCACTAAAAAAATTAAGTTCCCAAGTGAGTTCTAAGAATATCTTAATTGCTCTAACTTGCTAGCAGTGAATGGAGGAAATTCACATCCACTTTCTCAAGTGGAACTTGCACAGGAATAATTTTATTTGTTTATTTATTTATAATTTTCATATGGAACTTAAGAAAAATTGTATATTTGGAAAAGTATTTTGAAAAGTAACAATAAAAATTAAGAGCATCTTGAGTGCAGATTCAACCTTAAAAACTTAGTATGGTATAAAAGAAACCACTCATCTTTTTATGTTCTAAATGTTTTATTTAAAATTGACTTTTTCTTGCTTTTTGAGATATAAAAAATTACTAATTATATTCAAGTTTTTTAGCACATTCATTTTCAATTGATATTATGATTGATACAAATATTTTAGTCCATCTTAGGTAAGACTTTATCAATTTTGGTTTAAAAAAATTTCTCCATGCGAATCATATATTATCTAGTCCTTTTATAATTTCACACATTAGTTGCAATTTTTTTAACAAATTTATAATTATACCTGTTAAAGTCAATTATGTTCGATCACGGACTGGAGGGATTAGTTTCCTTCCAATCCATAATCAGACTGGAGGGTACTGTTGGGCCCGTAGGGGCTACCACGGATCCCGTTTCAGTAATCCGAACCATTGAATATATAGAACACGTCGAATACTATATGTTTGTAAAAAATCATATTGATCAGATATCGACAACTACGTGATCAAATAAGTTTTGTATACAAAAATGGAACGTGAAAAAATAAACGATGGACATAAATCTAATCCGATGAAATAGCTATCAATATACGATCAACGTGATTTTTTACAAGCTTATAGTACTCGGCCGGTTCTACACATTGAATGATTCGGATTATCGGAACAGAATCCTTAATAGACGTCCACGGACCCAACAACACCCTTCTATCCAATCACAGACTGGAGGGTAGCCAATCCCTTATATATATACCAAACATTTACAAGTCTTCGTTAACCTTATCAGCACTAGGATAGGGCCTACGTAAGATTTGCAAGTGTTTTGAGAAGTACCAATCTGTAATTGGGTAAAATTTCATTTAGCACTCCTGAACTTACATTAAAATTTTGTTTTGATTTCTTAATTTCAATTATAACAGTTAACTTTTTATATTTTTGATCAAATTTTAATATCAACTTTTTGTCCATCCAAATCCCAATGGCGAAGCTAGAATTTTGGCACGGGGACACTATTGAGTTGAAATCTTAACAAAAATCACAATCCAACTTAACTCAATTTTGTGGTAAGAATAAAAATTGTTGGAATGCAAAAGTTAAATTTTGATATAAGCTCGAACTAGCCGATCATAATCAATTTCTTTTTTAATTTGATTTTATGTACAATGATCACATGTTTCGAAAAATAATCACATGCCTCACAAAATATGAAAACAAAATTATATCAAGTTATACACACAAAAAGAGATGTAGATACGAATAAAAGAAAAAAAAATGAGAGAGAAGGTGAATAAATAATACAAAGAGATTGCTATATATCACTTGTTTTTTTTTCATAATTTTGAATCATTAAATTACATGATAATATATATAATTTTTTGATCAGCAAATGTTAGTTGTTAGTTTAGTACCTATGGAAGAAAATCTCTCCACCCTTGGCAAACCACCTAAGTGCTTGCACTTCCTTAATTCAACTCCTCTAAGGGAAATTGAACCCACGACCTCCTTGGGACTAAGCCCTAAGGAAGGCATGGTGGCCAACTAGCCTAGATCTAATTGGTTACATGGTAATATATTATTAGTTGCCATTGATTCTGTAATATTTATCTCTAAACAAATGAACTAATTAAAAATATTCATATAAGAGGTGGTATAAAATAGACAAAAAAACCGGTGACACAATATTTCTCTAATGTAAAATTTATATAAAAAAAAAAGAGAGCACAATTAAACATTTAAAATGACAAATTAAATAATTTTTTTTTTTGAAAAAAAAGAAGTGAAAAGGATATAAATTTTAAACACATAATTGGAAGGATTAAATTGAACTTTTTTTTTTTGAGGGGGGCATGTGACCCTCCTGGTCCTCATGTGCCTTCTTCCCTACGCCCATCTGTCATCAGGGGCAAAACTAGAAATTATGTGTATGGGGGCTAGGTGATTGTTTAAAAAAAATAATTTTGGTACATTATTTATAGAAAATAATTTTTTACATAAAGGTTGTAAAAAAATTATTTATGAGAAAAAAATAAATAATTTTTTTATGTGACTATTAGATCATTGGTGCAAAGCCAAAAAAGAATTGCAGGGAGAAAAATAAAAAAAAATGGTAAAGCCAATCATGTGAACACCTCTCTTGTACATTGCCAGGGACTCAAAGAATAAATTTGACATAGTCCAAACAAGTCTAAAGAAATAAAACTTGACTTAGTCCAAACCAAAATAGTCCAAACAAATCTTAAGAATTTTCTTTAGCAATGCTTTCATTTTCATTTTTCCTACCCAATCAACTGATTACTTGAGTTGGTCACTATTGTACATTCTTATTCAAGAGTTGTAGCAGTCAATCTTTACTAGACATGAAGATTGAATATTTTTGTCTTTATGAGAGCTGCATTTAGTTTTTTATTTCTATTCATTATATCTTATACATATGCATTGTTAGACAATAAGTATCAAGCTTGATACAATACAATTATTTTTAGGGTAACTTATGTTGACACCATTCCATAACATTGGAATCATGTTGTCACCCCCTTATTCTCTTAAATATTAGTAACCCCCCTTCATTTAGAATTTTAAGTAACATATAGATCCATCTGTTAGTCAACTATGTGAGTCGACCTAACAGAGTTGGTTGATCCCATTAGTTTGAAATTCTAATGTACCAAAAGTGCCTTTATCCAATTAACATAATTTAAAATGCATTTTAGTTACTTTGTTTACAATAATTTCACACAATTTGAAGCTACAAACCGTGTCTAATCCACAAACTTGATTTACCAAGGTCACCATTTTGCTACAAGCTGTAATAGTAGTACTCCATTCTTCAATCAAAAGCTCTAGGCATCATTTCATCAAGCAATGACTGAAAAACACAGAATTCCTTTCTTCTCCAGTTTCATAAACCCAGAATGAAAAATAGAGCACCCCTAATTTCTTTTAACAAAGAAAAATAATTTATTCTGATCCACAAACACTCATTGAATGCATTCAACTCAAGAAACTCAATTCATCATCCACATTACAATGCTCTTTTTCATATATACGTACATACATATATATATGTGTGGGTGAAAATCTGACCACACTGCCAACTTAGTATTCAGTTGGAGAGCACTGGCAAAATAAATGACACCTGTCTAACCTGCAATAGAAAGAGAAGATTCCTGCAGTGGTTCGTCTGCCCGGGGGCACTCCGACGATCAAGTTAGTATATCTCTCACAGATAATCAATAGTGCAAACTCACTAGTCAGAATATAAATTGCGTACCTTAGACCCACGGGGGTGCCTCTCTTTTATAGCTGACTCAATCCTTGTCCCGATAGGAGCCTTGCTCTAAAGGACTTAGGATTACTATTAATCTTTGACTCCCAATAGGATTGGGATAAACTCCTTAAGAGCCTTATTCTTTCCTAACTGAAGTCTTCCCCCTTTCTAGGACTCTTGTGCCTTATTCGCTTATCTCGGACTCCGATATCTTCGGAGGTAACCTCGGTCTTGCAGAGATAACCTCGGTGTCATGACCAGGACACGTGGCACCTCGGTTGACACGTCGGCGTCACCTTGGCCACGTGTTGGTACTTAGAAAATATATTCCCACAACTGCCCCCTAGGTTCTATTACCTCAGCATCCTGAGGTGATGGAACCTATATTGTTCATGTCAGCTATCTTGCCGAGGTCATAAGATCATCATCGTAAGCCGATATGTCCTCTTCAAGATCAAGAATCCCAAGGGCTTCTTCACGCGTATGAGCTGTCATATATCACAATTCAACCGTTTCGGCTACGTGTCCTTTTCTTATTGGATTGTACTTGGTACGTTCTTCTTAATCGCCTCGCACATACGTGCGCCGTCTGATGCTCAAGTTGTTTTAGGCGCATTTGGCTCTGTCTTGCCGCCGTTTCAAGTTTTAACAAAAACTTTTCCTTCTTCCTTCATTTCTTCACTTTTCATTCGATTCTCTTGCTTTTTCTCTCTCTTACTTTTTTCTCTTGAATCCGCCATTGCTCCAGACTTCAAGCTCTGTAACTACCTTCATTCCTCCCTTTTGGTGAAGCTTTCGCCGTTCTGCTACTTCTGTAACCGTCGCCTGACTTCGGT